AAAAAAAAAAGCTGTTGCCTGGAGATCCAACCCCTACAGATTCTGAATGAGTAGTAGTTGGAAGATAGGCTTAGCTGCTTAGATGCTTAAAATCCCTGCAGGTAGTTTTACCCGTGTCATGGAGACCAGAAATGCAAAGCTGGGGCTGTTTTTCACGAAAGGACATTTTTCTGCTTCATCCTGTGCTCCTCACCTAGGACTGTAGCATGTAAGAGATGACTTTCAGTCTAATCTAGTTTTGCATAGTGATGCACATATTTCATTATTTATATAATATTGCCTATTTAGGAACTAGGATGGTCAGCTAATTGATTTGAAATGTGGAAATAGACTTCTCAATTTAAAAGAACCTGAAAGGATGTGGTTCAGTTGCTTCTCTGTGCGATTTTAAGTTCATGAGGAGCTGAGCAAAAGGAGCAACTGAAGCCCCTGAAGCAGTGTGTGCCTGGAGCTCCTCTCCCCACTGCTGCAGGGGCTGCTTGTGCAGCTGCACTGCCCCTGCTCATGCTGACTGTGCTGTAGGCTGGTTCAGACCTTGCCATGGTTTAAAGCTGCTAATTTGCTTTGAGGCACATTCTGATGGTGACAGGCTTTATTGTAGTTTATTTTCTTGGGCTTTATTTTGTACTTTACCTAGATCGATGAATTAGGGATCTTAGAATAGTGGGAATAGGCAAACACTGAATAACTGCTTGTTATATTTACAGAATCCAATAGGTGCTGCTAATTAATGTGCCTAACCTTGTGAACTCTCACTTTGTGCTTTGAGATTTGGGAGGCATTTATTAGTGTGAAACACTGGTCACTGAACAACCTGAGCTAAACAGGAACTAAACTTGTGATCTTTACAATGCCCTAGTGTGGATTTGTCCTAGAAAATCCAGGAGCCAGAGAGGGAGTGAAGGTGAATTTTAATTATGTGCCTGTATTTGCTGTCCTTATTCTTTTCTTTTTCTTTTAAAAAATTTTATTTATTATTTTTATTTTATGTCTATGAGAGTATTGCCTGCATGTATGTAATTACACCTGTGTCATGTGATGCCTGTGGAATCAGAAGAGGGCATTGTATCTGGAACTGGAGTTAACAGGTGTTGTTAGCCACAATGTGGGTGCTGGGAACCAAACCTGGGTCCTCTGCAGAATCAGCCAGTCCTCTTAACCCTGAGCCGTCTCTCCAGCTTCTGCTATCCTTAGTCTTTTCTTCTCTAAATATGTAAGAACTATTTCCACACAGGACTTTCATCAACATCTAAAGGTTTTTCAAAAGAGGTAAAAATGGCAATAATTTTTTTGAGACAGGGTCTTAATTAGATAGCCCAGGCTAACTTGGAACTTCCCATATAGACCAGGCTGGCTTTGAACTCACAGAGATCCCTTCTCTTTCTGCCTCCTGAGAACTGGCATTAAAGGAGTGCACTACCATGCCCTGCCAAAAATTACAGTGTTGAGTTTTGTAAAATACTTGAATCTATATTTTCTCATTTCATCCTCTTAGACTCCTCTTAAGGTAGATGAGGCAAGTGTTCCCTTTGGGAAAATAAAGAAACTGAGGCACAGCAAGGTAAAATGACTTACCCAAGGCTGCAGTTCAGGTTAGTAGTGTAATAAGTGTAATAAGAATTTAAACTTGATTTCTACTTGTGGTCCTTTCTTTCAAACTGGAGATGATTCTCACATACACACACAGGCACACACATGCATGCACTCTCATTCATGATACAGTACTAGCCCAGCCATGGATCTAGGAGTCCATGAGCACTGGTTAAGTTCATTATCACTGAGTAGACCAGCATTTTTACTGTTTTAATGGCAGTTTCATCGTGTTGTGAATGAAATAACAGTTAAAAAGCCATGAAGAAAAGCAGAGAGGAAGCTCACTTGCCACCTATAAAGGTTTTGCTCACTTATGCAAGGTTACCACAGCCTTCTTTCTGAGCAGTGGCAATGGACAGTTTTTCTGGGATGACAGTCTCTATTGCTTTCGTAAAGTGCTCAAACACATGCCTGTGCTTGCTAATGTGGTCATTCTGGGAGTGGTGGAGACAAACAACGCTCCGGTTTCACAGGTGTGGAAACCATCTCAGGCTACATATTTTATCTAAAGCCACGTAGGGTTTTTAAGCTGGTAATATCATGTAGTATTTTCAGTTCCTAGCTACTGTTAAAGAAAAAAATTTTAATTAGCGCATATTAATTATATATAATGGGATTCAAAGTAACATTTCCATGCATGTATATAATGTGCTTTGATCATATTCACACCCTCATTACCCTTTCTTGTCTCTTACCACTGACTCTCCTCTTCCTAACCAGTCCCCTTTTTACTCTTGTGTTTGTGTGTGTGCGTGCGCCTATGCTTTCCTGGACTTGCTAATAGATTGTAATCTGTGCTTTTGAAATAACGTTATTCTAGTAATTTTTGTCCTTAAAAATTCAACTTTAGGGGCTAGGATCTAACTCAGTTTTAAAGAGTGTGTGAGACTCTTGAGTTTAGGCCCCAGCACAAAGACACCCCACGCCTTTCAGCAGTTACTGACCCACTTCACCTGATCACCCAGCCCCCAGCTATATTCCCCTTCCTCAAGCTGTATTAAAATGATCAGTTCAGACGTTAACTATTATTCCTTCTGTATCTCACAATCAATAATTTTCTTTCTTGTCTTTTTTTTAACCTAAATATGCTTCTGTTTTCCTGATAATTGATAGGAAATGTCAGATCACTTTCTTTTCTTCCCAATAGTTGTAGACCCCCATTTTCAGCTTTTGTGCAAGCTCTTTGCAGATGTGGCTTTTCTCCAACTATAGTCATAAGGTCCCCGTGAGATTGGGTCCTTCTGTGGTGGTGTCCTTACACCCTCTAGTGGATGAAGGACTGCTGAATGTGGAAGCACCTAGTGCTTTTCAACCTGGTGATCAGTTCAGCCTTCGCTGTTGCTTCTGGGATCTTTGATTATATGGAAATAGCACAAGCTGCTTTCTCTTGAGAAAGAGGTTTTTTAATGTGCTTATGGCCATGCATCTAAAGAACTTGTATTCTGCTGTTTCTTGATTTATCAATTTTTCATATCCTTTGGCTTTCTACTGTTGAAGATGACGAAAATAAGTTTCATAGGTGTGCTCACCATCCTTTTAATAAATCCATTATGTATTAAATCAGCCTTTATTATTGCCTTATGGATGACATGATGCATGATTATGGCTGTAAATACACACACATATATATATACACATATACATACACACACTTTTTTAAGATAGGGTCTCACTATGTAGTCCCAGGTGGCCTGGAGCTCAGTATGTACACTAGGCTGGCCTCAGTCTCAAAGAGATCTGCCTGCCTCTGCTTCCTGAGTGCTGAAATTAAAGGTACCACCATGCTGAGCCCTGTAAGTATTTTTTTGTAGTCAAATGGTAAAGCATTATGACTATATTCGCTTTTTTACATACCATTTTCCCTTGAGGTACTATATGTATATAAATATACATAGAATATGAATATATGTAAATATATAGGTGTGGCGGTTGCTTTTTA